TACCCCCCCCCCCCCCCCCTCCCCCCCTCACACACCTTTAGCGCGACGTGGCGACACACGGCAGCCAGCTCGCGCTCCAGCTGCCTCACTCCCGCCTCCCTCGTGTAGGAGGACGCCACCCTTAGCACTGTGCTTCGGGGGAGAAGCATGTGCTCGGCGCCCACGCCGTTCTTCTTCATCTGCTTGGGGATCAGGTACGCCTCCGCGATCTTGACCTTCTCCTCGAGGGTGTAGCCGGGGATGTGGATCACCTTACACAAAAAAANGGGGGGGGGGGGGGGGGGGGGGGGGGGGGGGGGGGGGGGGGGGGGGGGGGGGGGGGGGGGGGGGGGGGGGGGGGAGTGACGCGGATAAGGAGAATAGGCGAGGCTTTGGACCGTACTTTGTACTTTTGCCAGAGTAAGGACCGGCGAACGAAGACGTTCCGAAATCGACCGGCCTATGCGTGCGTGCACGAGAGGGTCACAGCATGAGGGGACGTATTCGCCGTTGTCCGAGGGGTATGAATCCTTCCCTCACGACCTTGGCCACTCTTCAATGATGTGCCCTCACCCGCGGGAGTAGAGCAGGGCAGAGCTCAAGGCAACAGGCCGCAATGTCACCCGGAATGGGCACCGAGGCGCGCGTTTGCCAAACACTGCGGGCTTCGTCGCGTCTGCTCACATAGTTGCAAGCCGCGAAGACCGCCAAGACCTACCAAACAACATCTTCCAAAGCGCGATGCCCACCGCTTGCCGTCAAGATGGGCACAGGGCGCCGCGATACAGAAGTGTCGTCATCCGTGCTTCATACTGGTATATGTCACCGCACTTTACCACAAAAAAGTTATCGTACAAAACAAGCAGAAGAACCCCGCCCTGACCAACGGTTTCATGCGACACGCAGGGCATTTAATGGGTGTACCTCCAAGCGATCCAGGAGCGGCTCGGGGATGGTGTCGACCTTGTTCGCCGTGGCGACAAACAGCACCGAGGACAGGTCGAACGGCACGTTCACGTAGTGGTCCGTGAAGCTGTCGTTTTGTTCCGGGTCCAGCACCTCAAGCAGCGCCGCCGACGGGTCGCCTCCCCTCACGTTGGAGCCGATCTTGTCAACCTCGTCCAGCAGCATCACGGGGTTGCGGGTACCCGCACGGCGGAGGCACCGCACGATGCCACCCGGCTACGGGAAGAGGGGCGGGGGGGGGGGGGGGGGGGG